TATGGGTAACCTGTAACAGGTATGTTAATGGTTCAAGCCCCCCCTCTGTCCCTTTCTCAGCCCTGGTATCCAAGGAGGTCGAGCTGGATGAGCCACTAATTGTATGGCAGCTCTGTTTCTATCAGTGTGCCCCAGGGCAGCTGTGGCTACCATGTAGCTGAATAGGAGTATTTCTTAATGAGCATTTTACATTACTTATTTTTTATGAAAAAAAAAACAAGTGAACTCATAGTGAGCAACCTGACACACTCAGCAAAGATCATTTTATTAAGAATTAGACAAATGCAGAAATTCAACTTGGAACAACAAAAAAAGTAAAAAAAAATGAAATATATCACTTTATTTTTTTTTACTTTACATTTTTTATATTATTTTTTACTTTTTTACTCGTGACTACTTCACTGTCAGAAAATGGAACTGATTGTATAAAAGTATGAGTATTTCACCTTGGTCGGATGTTATGGTGAAGGTCTGCTTCATAGTTCTTGATCAAAGGCAGATTTCTGATGATTTGGAGCCCCAAACTCCAAATATACAAATGATAACCAAATCTGCAGTGAAAGAGCTCACTGTTATTTAAATCTCAAGGAGAACCTAATGCTATAAACGACTGTCATGCTTCTTTACTATAAAACAGCAAATAATAAGTTCTCAGCAGCCAAAAGGCATTTCCCTCTTAACAAACCACAGTAAGAGACACTTTGCAGTTCCAGACTTTAACTGGGTCGTTGCACGATATATCAGAGTCACAACCGTGTCATCTGCGTAGCATGAAAATCCCCCGAAAACACCACCCAAGCCAATTGTACTCCACTTAGACTGATTTAAAGTGCACAGCAACAAGCAGAAAAAGCCAAATTATTACATTATTATGAATTCTGACATGTATTTATATTTTGACTTGCAGCCCCTCTAAACACGTGTCATCTGACCTTTAACATGACCTGAAATGCTGGAAATTGGGATTACAGAGGTGATCTTGGAAGTCCTACTAATCCTTATCCCATGAACGCACAATAGGCACATATGTGTAGTGAGAAAAAAATTCGGTGTCTTTTAAAATATTATATATAACATTAGGTTTTAAAGTTTGATTATTTTCTCTTGGACTTTTATAGTCCTGCACACTTTTAAAGACAAGACCTTGCAATGAAACAAGTTTGTTTGAAACAAACTCTGATGTCCAATATGTTCTACGTTGTCATTCATGAGGTTACACACACATTTAGTGAAATAGTGTATAAACTCGCTTTATGTGTTCATCTATCCCTTATTTGACCTTGCACTTTCAATGGTAACAATGTACTTGCATATAATTAGCACCAAAAAAAAAACTTAAACCTTGCACTCAATCTTTGCCACTTAGCTTTATTTAAATATAATTAAACCTAAGTGACATTAAATATTTAAATTTTAAATACCTTGGCATTATGACTTATCTTCCCAATACATTTTATAATAAGTGTCCAAATAAGGGCCCCCTATAATTTGAAGTTGGCACAACAAAACTTTGGTCAGACCAGATATTTGCAAGTTTTAGTAAGCATATTGCTTTGACCAAACCTAGAATTCAGATTCAAATTAAAAGAAAAACTACTTGATCCAACTTTGGAATAATTTCAACAACCCATAAACCATTTGCTCATGATCTGGGGATTTGTGTGAACAACAATATTAAGTTCTGTTTTGGTCAAATACTGCCTTTTGCTTTATTTCATCCTTTACCTTAATGATTAGATCCATGTGTTATTCAAAATGTTTACTATTTAAAAAGATAGTTTTTACAGATAAACAATTTAATCTATTTCTAAGCTTACCTGTATTTCTACCTAGTTATCAGACCTTGTTTCAAGCAAATTTAAGGAAAGTTGTAGTTTATCTAACTATTTCTCTATTATATCCAAATTTATAATAAAGATAAAAGGTATGGTGGAAAAAGAAGTTTTCTTTGAGCAAGATGGATAACTGCAGCCTTAGAGGGGGGGGTAAGGATGTCTTCCCTTGGTATCACCATATTTTTCTGCGCTGTTACACCTTCTGTTCTATTCAAGCCTGTAAGATCTTCAGGGCAGTTAATAGACATACCAGGATCCAATATAAAGTTGATATTGTAAAGAATGCTTGCCTAACCTGCATGAACCCCACAGAGCATAAATTACCTACAGATGTATATCAGATGTAAAGACCGACTGATGCAGCTAAAGTAATCTGCACCTCTGATTACCTGCATATTGTATTGCGTTGATGCAGTGATTCAAGTTAACTCAATGAGATTTCTGTGTTTTTATTTAAAGCAGCTGCCAAAGATTAAGATCCTCTGTTTAGACCTCATTTTCAAATTTTTGTCCGTGTTTTTATAACCTAATGCCTTGACAATTTCAAGTCTTTTTTAGCTTGTGTCAGCTTGGCCACTCTTTGACAGCCACAGCTGGTATAGAATGCCTCAGCATTATTTTTAACTGGTAAAAACAAATGTGCGCTCATAACTCCAGTGTAGGTATCCCTCCACAGGTATAGTGGATAAAATTCTTTCAGGTTTGAATTTTGGGCGAACATCTTTTCCATTGTCATTACTTACCTACTTTTATCAGTAATCATTCTACATAAAATGTATATTTACAAGTAGTTATATCTTCATAAATTGATTATTTAATACGTTTTTATTAAAATAGTTATTTATCTATGATTTCACTGAAGACTCCTAGATGACTTGCAGAGACACACCATTTTCTCTTTAACCCATAAAACACAAAATCTAGTTCTGAAAAGAAAAAAACTGCAGTGGCGCTTGACGCTGTATGAATTAACAACTCTGGTCCAACAGGGGTCGCTGTGGTTTTGCTTCAGCCTCTTTGCACAAGCGGTGAAGCGGTGTCGAAACGTCGCATTCTCTGATTGGCTGGAGCAACCTGGGGTTAAACGACCCTGCGCATGCTCCGGCTCCCCTTTCACAGTTAGCGAGAGAAATCTGTCACCTCAGCAAAGCCAAGAACCCTGTAGTAGCCTTCAATATTCGCGAACTTCGACTGCATTGATCAACGTCGGGGAGTTAACTCTCAGGCTACGTGCTTTTAGAATCCGTTTCTAGCTTTTTAACGCCTGTTGATAGAAAGTAGGAGCAGAATGGCGAGCAGTTCTAAACGGAAAGAGGAAAGTCACCTGCTGAATGGGGCTGTGAAACAATCCACATGGAGCAAAGCCTTCTCCGGTAACGCTGTTTGGGAAGAAAAGGCGAGTTATTTAACAACTTTTTAGTTAACTTTTTGTACAGACTTGGTTTCTGTTTTTCTACAGTAAGTCCTGAGTCCCATACTCCCCTGTCTAATGACAGCTAGCCGAAGCTAACCCCCATGCTAAGGATTAGTTCAGCTGGCTGTCATTCGAAATTTACGTTGTTTTTATGGTCTTGGTGGTAAACTTTTCTAAACAGCACTGGCTACTTACACATTTAATACACCTGAATGAATAATAAAGTAAATTTACCCTTTAAGTAAACAAAGTTCTCATAACTTAAATAGTTTTATGTTATTAAGAGAATTACAAATAGTTTCCAATTGGTTTATTTATATGATCAGGAACTTCATAAGTTGTTTTTTTTTTTGTTTACAATGGGCAACATGGTGACTGAATGAATATGTATTGCATATTGTTAACTGTCTGTCATTGTTTTTTATTCACAGGATGAGTTTTTGGATGTGATTTATTGGCTCCGACAAATTATTGCTGTTATCCTTGGTGTGATATGGGGTGTTGCACCTTTGAAAGGATTTCTAGGAATAGCAATGTGGGTTTTGTGTGCTGTCTTTCAAAATCCAACATTTTTCCATCTAAATATTACTGTATGGATTAAAAAAAATAAAAAATGTTCTTTTCATGCTTGCCTCTTTAGTTTCTGCGCCATCAATGCGGGGCTCCTGTACCTATACTTCAGTAGCTTTCAGCAGATTGATGAAGAAGAGTATGGAGGCACATGGGAACTCACCAAAGAAGGCTTCATGACATCTTTTGCCCTTTTCCTGGTAAGTGTACAAATTTATATAAAACTTTTTTCTTTGTGAACTTATCAGAATAGGTCAGGTTTACATGAGAAAAAGGGATAAGAATATTTTAAAAAGGATTTTATATTCTTTTATATTTTATTTGAAATAATATTTTATAGTCTTTTGACATTTACTTCTTGAAAATTAGTGGTGGACAGGTGCAAACATAGATGACATAAAATTTTTATTGCTTCTTTTCAACTGAAAGCCCAAGGATTTCCTTTCATAGCTACAGCCCAAACAAAAATGTTTTTTTTAGTTCAAATGGTACTGGGAACTGATACAATGACTGTGTGATTATAAGTAAATACATTTATATCGATTAGAAATTGCAGACAGTGGAATTGACAATGGCAGGATTTGGGAGCAGGGAGACAGTCGCTGCATCCCAACCTTGGTCTCTTGCTTCCTGTAAAGCTGCAACCATAAAAGGAAGGAAACGTGAACATTTTGTTCCTTGCATGCGACTTAGTTAAGTTTACATGAAAAGCCAGTCTGGGGAATACGTATAAAGTTTATAATGAACAAGGTAAAGTTAGTGTGATCTGTTTGATTATTACACTTTTAAAAAAATGCTGTTACTAAGCTATAGCAAAACAGTTTCTAATTAATTTGTTCCTAAACTTACAATGTCAAACCTTTCTGATTAAAAATATTTTTATATTTTAGTACTTGGATTGCAGCAAATCCCTAAGAACCTGAATGGGGTGAGGCAGCTCCTATAGCTCTTAGTTGCCATCACCAGGTTGACCTTGCTAGCCTAGCAGCCAGATCAGGCTGAGTTTTGATGAGTTTTATGCTTAATAACATCTTCAAACTAAAATTTGTAACGAATTAAAAGTATACGCCACTTTCAATGTAAAATTTGTGATCTATCAAACAAAAATGGTGTGAAAATGCGATTGCAAATGCTACCTGGGCTCTAAAAAGCTCCAAGGGCTGATGATGCTAACTCAAAAGCACATATAAACAAATCCAACAGATGAAATGTTTCGTTGCTAACCTCTGCTGCAAATGTGTATCTGTCAGCCTCCTAGAAAATCTATATTGATCTTAGACTAATTGTTTTGACTTGTATTGAAGAAAAGCAGATTTTAAATAATTAGATTGTTCCTCTTTCTTAAATTAGGGAATATCTAAATTACATAAAGTGCCCTAAAAGTACACTTAAAAATATTCATCAGTTTTCAGGCGTATTTGTGTGCTCACCTTTCTCACCGAGGTTCTTTGAAAATGGCAGAGTGTTATAAGAGAAAAAGTGTCTACGAAGTGTATGAGGAGAAAAGAAAGGCCTCAGAAGAGACAGATGTAGACTGGAAGGCTTTGCGTGGAGAGCTCTTCTCGCAAAGCATTATGGGATTTGCTTTCAACTGACAGTGGCGACTAATAACAAAGATGGCACAGGCACCGTGCGGTGGAGGAGGAGTTATGTGACCTACAGGGAGCAAAAAGTAGTTCATATCTGTCCAAACAGTCAAGTTTACTGAGTTCGCTATAAAGTCCTCACTATATATAGTGATAGAGGGATTTAGGGGTTAGAGCGGAGGTTTGGACACAGTAAGCTTGTATGAGCTGTGAGAAGATTTTTAAACAGAGCGTGCACGAGGAGAAATGGAATCATGCGTGCTCTTGCACACGTGAAGAGGGCGGGTCTTAGCGAAATTGGCGAAAAATCCTCCACAATAAACATTTCTTCTTGAACTCTGGTCGTAAATACAGGAGCCAAATCATTTATATTTGGATTTAATTTGATGGAGGATTTTTTAAACAGCAAAAAGAAGGTAAAAAATATTAAACTTTCCTTTTTTCTGTGCTAGGAAATGTTTTCTCAGATATATGTAGCTGAAATGCCCAAATTGAACCTCAATTTGAAGTTTTTGGCTTCAATCAATCACAAAATTTATCTAATTTAAAAATGATACTGAACTAACCCTGTTTTTATACAGGAACAGTTTAAAAGGGAAAAAAACATAATAAACCAAGAAATACCTTTTTATTTTTGTTAACCTTGATCCCTTCAAGTGTCTTGAAAGAAGGAAGAACTTAAAATCAGAGGTGTATGGTTTTCAAAATGATTTGCTGACAAATGAAAACATTTAATATTTGAAGTGTACTTTTGTCACAATGGCCAATATGATCATAACATTAAATGATTTTTGTCTGTTTTTCACCAGGTGGTGTGGATAATCTTTTACACAGCTCTTCATTTTGACTGAGAGATGCATGAGGATATAAATAAGAACATTTTTGTTAAAGTAAGTTGACGGACTGAAGAACTTCAAAAAGTGGGGGTGTGAGTGCTCTACACTAAGACGTCTCTCTCTGTGCAGCATTATGGGAATGCTAAATATCGCTAAATGACATCCAGCAAGAACACAGGGATGAAGACGTTCAGATGCTGTACATCTTTTTCATTTGAGACTTCTGTTTTTTTTAAGGACATATTTCATTATACTTCCCAAATTGTTTATTTCTTCATGTGTTCATGAAAAAAGAAACAAACACTAAAGTTGCAGAAGGTAAAACGTGTTTTAGGCAGGTTACATTTCTGTTGGTTTCGTACAGTACGATTATGTGAAACAGCTCGATCAGCTTACTTCAAATGTATGACTGACTTGATTTCAGACTTTATATACTGCAAAGATAACAAGCGATGGCTACCAATTTCTGTTTATCGGTTATAGGTGGCTCAGTGAAGTTTTAGGCATAGGACATTAAACACAAAAGTATCATTTCAATATATGGGTTCAGTCTGTGAATTATTTTAAATTTAATGTCAGATAAAAGAAACTACCGTTCATATAGTAGAATAACTCTGAATCTTGTCTTTTAATCCCTGCTCTGAATTTTTTTACAGCTAAATTATTTTTGACTAAATAAGTCGTGATTACCAGTTAGTGTGTTTCTTTAGATTAAAGGTTAATGTAGTTTGTCTTTAAGAGCAAAATGTAATTTAATTCGATATTTTTTCTTTGGGGCGGGTGATCAAATGTTTGATGTCTAACAAAAGTAAAAGCTGTATTCAGACATGGCTTATAAATAACCTCGAACATTAAAACGGATGCTGTCACACTGGTTTGCTCATATTCAGTTATGAACCATTCCCCTATCTGAGCAAAGTGGGGAAAAACATGTTTATGTTTTGGATGCAAACTTTGATCAATTTTATTTTAAGCTGAAACTGATCTGTTTACTGCCATGCTTTCTATTTGTCTGCCATTATTAAAACAGTTTAGATTAAATATTTTTTTTTTTTTTGAAAATGTAGCTTTTAGATTAGTCTTGTCTATTTGGAAATGTATTTAAAACTCTAAAGTCTTTATCTTCTTTTCTTGTCAAATCCCAACTTGTATTACACAGATTTGTATTTATGTTATGTCTCTTCTGATGTAACAATTCTCAGTATTTTCTGATGAGGAATGTCTGAGAGCAGTTCTTGCAACGATGTGATGATGCTGTTGTTCAATATGCAGCTGGTGTTGGAAGGGATTGTATTTTCTGATCAAATCTTTTTGGGAATCATTAAACATGGGCTTCATTTGGCCTTCATTTTCAGAGACATGAGTATTTCATTCCAAAGATTTCTTTTTCATGTTTATCTTTGTCTTTTCAAACTATTTTTCCTAGAATTAGTGTTTTCCTTTAAATTATAGTTTTAAGATACTGGACACTGGTCAAGATTCTAGGTTCAGTGCCAACATGATGAATGCTTCAGAAAAAACCTGTTTCCCACTGGCTGAAAAAACTATTTAAACCCGGAAACAATCTGCTTTTATTGGCAGTGGAAACACCTCACTGACGTGTCTGACCCGCGTTAAAATCGCCTTGGCTCTGATCGGCATACTGTGGGAACCTGTCAAATTGTGTGACACCATTGAACGCAACATGCCAGTCACTTCCGATCTAACAAGCTGAAACCACTCTGTTTACGTTCGATAAACATTAGGCAGCACTGGTAGGAGGGATAAAAAGAGCAGAGCAATAAAAGCACACTTGCTATGTCCTGGGTTCCATACATGTTGCTCTCCATTGTTTACTTTCTTGATTTCTGTTACACTGGTGACATCACCAAAGCTGCCCCATCGGGATGGTCTCAGCTGGACACTCAGCTGCAGGAGGTCAGAGGCCACGCAGCTTGCCAGCGAGACACGCTTTTTTTTTTTTGACAGTGGGAATGGGGCAAAATGCCAATAGTTGAGTTGTCGACCCTTGTTTGAAAAACCGGGGTATTTTAGTGAGAGAGAGTCTAAAGACACTGGTCCCAACCACACAGCGAATGAAACTCGAGTTTGTTTCGGTGAAACAAAGTAAAGCTGTTAAAGCAGCTCAGCCAATCACCTAAGCGGAATCCTCTAGAATGAACTTGGACAGAAAATCATCATTATTTCTATAGGAGAGTCTAAAGATGGGACTCAAAGAACCTTCAGGAACTTAAGATTGTTTATGAGGAAGAATGGGCCAACATTTCACTTAA